TGAACATGAATCCAGGGGCCATACTCCACCTTTGTCACAGCATTATGTTTCGTTCCAACCGAATTCTTTTCAGCAGATATGATGGTTTCAGGCGTGTTCTTAGACTGATCCTTGATACCTTGAGCAACTTTTTCAGGACATGTGTTGAGCTCATGTCGTACACAACCACAATGATAGCAAAGTAAGTTGATTTTTTCATATTCAACTCTTTGGAAGAATCTACCAGCAATACCATCAATCCACACACCATTTGGGAGTTTTTTTTCCAGATCAACTTTCACACAAATGCGAGCAAATTCTTTCTTCCCCCACCTAAAAGTATTTCCATCCAAATAGAGAGGTGTACCAAACCGAGAAGCTATACTAGCAAGGTTGCCTTCATCCCAGCAGTATAGAGGAAGGCATGGAAGTCTAATCCAAACTGGGGCAGAGATACCCTTGAACGAATATGGATCAAATGCAGGAGAGCAACGATCCATTCCAACAATGAATCCATTAACATACCAAGGTCCACCATTTAAAATTTCATCCACCACATCTTTGTTTTTAAAGGAACAAAGTATCCAATTCCTTCCAATTGAAGTCATGTGAAATCCACCAAATTGGTTCCATTGTTTTCTCAAATCAAAACTACATGTTGAATAAGGTACATTACCTCCCAATACTTTTAAAACAATGGAGTTCTTCAGCACCTCAGAATTTTTCCCTTCAGCCACAGGATTCAGTTTGATTGCAATGCCATCTTCCGAAAATTCAACTTGATCTTTTTTGAAATCAATCTTGATATTCTTTGGCTTCGACCAAGCTCCATTGATCTCTTCAACTTCGTTTTATTCTTTATTAATCAAAGGATCGCTCAAACGATCTTTGAAAGAACCAATAGCTCCATCTTCCACCGGATTTAAAGATCCCCTGTTCTGTTCTTGACGGAATAACCCAGAAAAACCGCACACCTTCAAATTGGTCTCAGATGAATTCAGATTGCATTTCCAGATGTTTTTCGAGCGATCCACAGCTGCTAAATCAGAAGAATTTTCATCTACAATCCTCTTACCTTTGCCTTCAACCATCAATGGCTTGATTACCGAATGCGAGCCTTCTCTGATCATTAGCCCCCCTCTTTCCTTACCAACCAATCTGGGAGAGCTGGGATGACGAGGAGCAATCATGGCATTGGCCGAAGACGCCGCGACGCAACCGGCGACGGCACCACCAGCCGGAGGAAATTTTGCGGGAGTTGGAAAATTCAAAAAAAAGAAGGGCTTTCCTCTCACTAAAAAGCCAGACCAATGATACCCTGTTTAAGTGGAAGCATAACCAACAAAAACACATGGCTTGGAGTATGAGCTATGTTTTGATTGTGAATACGTTCGTAACCATGGGTAATAAAGACACCCAAAAGTTGTAAAATGATTGTAATTTGATGGTTTGGTATGGAGGGCTTCATATGGAGTTTTGCTGTGTAGGGTGGGAGTGGGAAGAATGTTAATGAGGTGGATGGCCGTGTGAAGAGCGTGAACCCATAAGCTGTGAGGTGCATGAGAGTGAATGAGGATGCTCTGAATTGTGTCTAAGATATGCCTGTGCTTACGTTTAGCTACCACATTCTGAGTTGGTGTGTTAGGACAGGTGTATTAATGAATCATACCAAATAATTTAAAAAAGTGTTTGAATTGATTATTAACGTATTAGCTGCCACCATGAGATCTAAAAGTTTTAATAGACATATTAAATTGACATTTTATAAAACTATAAAATTCATGGAACTTTTGAAAAACTTCAGACTTCTAAAATAGCGAATAAACCTAGCAAACCTCTGTGGAATCATCTATAAAAGAAGTTTAATATTAGAAACCATGTAAAGATGTAGTATAGAATGGTCCCCAAACATCATAGTGAGCAACTCCGAATGGAGAAGAGGTAATGGTGGTAGATTTAGGAAAAGATAGACGATGTCTCTTAGCTAGATTACAAGTGTTACTATATTTGTGTGTATTAGTATGTATAGTGGGATGCAATCTCATCAGACTTTGATGTTTAGAAGAATATGGATGTTCTAGCCAACTGTGTCAGAGATCTATATAGTTTGAACTAAGAGCAACGCAAGTGTGGAGGGTTGAATTTTGGAGCGAGTAGGGTATAGACCATTATGGTACGGTCCCTGAAGTAGAACATGTTTGGTCTTCAAATCCTTGACTTGATATCCATGTGGACAAAAAAACACAGTACATGAGTTATCATGTGTTAATTGATAAACTGAGAGCAGGTTAAATGAAAGGTTAGAAACAGGATGTAGGTTCTTTAATTGAAGGCTACCATATGGTGTTAGAAGAAGACCTTTACCTGTGTATTTAATGGGAAGGTGTTGTCCATTTCCTAATGTCACTTGAGAGGTGTCGGTGTAAGGTTTGGTTGACTGAAATTGAAAGGATTCAGAGGTTAGAAGCGTTGAAGCACCAATGTCCAAGTACCCATTTGATTTGGATGTGGCATCAGTAAAATAGAAGAGAGTTGACTTCAACATAGTTTCTTAATAGTTTGGATCAATGTGATACCAACATTTGAGAGCGGAGTGCCCTTGCTTGTTACAAATTTGGTAGATAGTGTATTGATTTTCCTGACGATGACCCTTGTTGTTTGAACGATTGTTCCGGTTGTAGTTGGGATAGAGTCCTCTCGTGGATGAGTTTCGACCGCATTCTAGACCTCGAGAAATAGCAATAGTAGTCACATTTTCTGAGATTTGTAGAGCTTGTAGTTCTATAGATGCATCTTGAGCAAGATTTACTTCTTCACTACAAAGAAGTGTATATAAGTTATTAATACTGATCGGTTGTAGATTTGTGTGAATTTTGGTCTTGAATATTTGATAAGATACAGGAAGGCCATTAAGTTTGTATAGAATGGCATCGTTGGGACCTATAAAGCTGTCTGCTGCTGTAATTGTGTCGATCTTGGATTTCACAGAAAGGAGATATTGTATCATGGATTGTTCGCCTTAGGAAAGATGATGCAACTCTTTCGTTAGTTGAATGATGCGTTAGCGTGTGGACTCTTATAGTCGATGAGCTAGGTTAGCCCAAATGTCGGTACAATGAGTAACCGAGAGAACAAAGGGTAGGATGGATGGCGACACAACGAATAGTAATGCAACAGCAAGATTCTGATCAAGAAGCTTCCAGACATTATTTGGCGAGACGAAGCCGAATCAGAGGTGTTGTCTGGCTGAAGTTGCGGAGTACACTTAGCGAGGAAGCCTTTAAAACCATTTGCAGCGAATATTTTTTCGATTTGAGAGCGCCATATGGGATAATTGTCCGAGGTTAGAGAGATGGAAACAAGGTTCTTCATGTTACTCATCAAGAACTTGAGTTGTGGGGGGATGATGATGGAGTTAGATGTGTGTGGGAAATCAATGGTTGTCGAGGTAGAAGATGATGCCATTGACAAGCTTTGGTGGAGAAAGGAGGGGAGGATGGAGGGAAAAGCGACCGAACTGTGCTCTAATACCATGATAAATTGCACAACAGGATGAAGAAAGCTGAAGAAATAAATTGCAGAGAATAGAAAATACTTTTTTATTATCATGTCTATTTGTTAGTACAAGACAAGTATATATAAACCCACTAGGGGTTACGTACGTTGTTCGTACGATATGGTATAATTTTTGTTGAGCTGTTCTTGTTGGTTAACAATTTCTTGAGGCCATTGTGCAACAACTTTTTCCCCGGCTCCTAAACCAATCCAGAAACTGACGAAATTCATTCAATCCCTGTCAGGGAAGCTTACCCAGCCGACAATTTGCATCCTCATTTGATTTTCCTTTTCCTGGGAGTATCTTCAATCAAACCTAAATGCTTGGGATTCTTATTTTGCCTAACACTGACCACAACAGCTTTACTCATAAATTTGTTGATGAGGACTACAATAGCTTTATATATTGAAGAAAGTCGATGAGCTGCGGGATGCCCTAGTCGTCGCTTCCCCTCTTCCCTCGCGCTCATCCCGTTTTTTTCCCTGGCCACCACTGGCCTTCGTCGGTGGTTTCCATGGACCTTCATGACGCCTCCATGTTCCCGCCTTTGGCAGATGCACCACCTTCCACTGATCCCTCTCCCGCTGACCCAGCCTCAGCCCGCAGGTTAGACCGGTTATGGTCTAACATCATTGCATCTCCTGCTCCGTCTGCGCCGCATATCCCCGTATCCCTTATTGAAACTCCAAAGGAGATCATTCCCTTCGAATCGGATTTTACTTGTCCTGCTGCCGCAGAGTGGAACTTATGCCTTGTGGGTTACTCGATCGGTAAGCGACCCTATTATGAAGCTCTAAATGAAACTGCAAAAAGGATATGGAAGCTTAAAGGTACTTTTCAACTTATAGCTCTTACAGATGGCTTCTTTTTGTTTAAATTTTCCCTAGTAGAAGATTTTGACATGGTATGGTCGAAGGGAGCTTGGTTTTTTTCATGGGAAGTCGTTTATAGTTCAGAAATGGACTAAAGATTTTCATCCTACTAGGGAAAGCTTTTCTTCAGTTCCAATCTAGGTTAGAGTTCATAATCTACCCTTCGTATGCTGGAACTCCGATGGAATCTCTAAAATAGCTTCAAAAATTGGTATTCCTTTAGCGGTAGAAGCCTTAACTGCCGCCAAATCGAGATTAACTTATGCTAGGATATGTATCCAAGTATCCACTTCTTTTTCTTTTCCAGATACTGTTGATGTAGCTATTGAAGGGAAAGTAATAAAGTTGCAAATCCAATATGAATGGAAGCCAGTTCCATGCGTCACTTGTGCCTCCTTAGCTCACGCTTCTTCAAATTGCCCCTCTACCCAGCCTCCTGAGCAGAAACTTCAATCTCAGTTTAGGGGTCGCAGTACTACTAGAAATCACCGTACAAAAACTCAATCTCGTTCCAGAATACCGCAGCAAAAACCTTTGAATGAAGGTGCCACAACAGGGCACAATCTTTCTCTGAATCAAATCAAATTACCTCTACATCTACTCTTAATTTGGTTCTGTCTCAGGTTGTATGGGTTCCCAAAGGTAATATTACAGCCAATCAAAACATTGTCAATCCTGTTCAGGCTGAATCTTCCATTGAGCCACAAAATGTTACTCATTCCCCAAAAATTTCTGAACTTCCTAATAATTCCCTAGCTACTTCTAAGTTTCCAGAAAGCACGCTCATCCCTAATTTAAATTCTCCTACAAATGAAAATATAGGGGATGCAGAAGTAGATATAATAATTAATATGCCAGGCACTTCAGTTAAGACAAGCAATATGTATTCTTCTCTTCAGAGTCATGAGGACTTAGCGGTAACAAACTCCGATAATGACTGCAACTCTTACTCCGAGCAGGTTTCTAATTCTAGTGGGAAGAAATCCAAAACATCCCTTCCTAAGAATTCCAAAGGGAAGAGGACAAAAAAGCCACCTGCCTCAACCTCCAAGCGCAAATGATCTGTCCAAATATAGCGTCTTGGAATATTAGGGGTTTTTCATCTCCTAATAAGGTGTCTTTCTGCAAAATTCTTGTACAGTCTTTACGGGTGGACATGATTTGTATCCTTGAGAATAGGATTCAGCTTCAAAATCTTTCTTATTTAAGTTTTTATAACAGTCATATGGTTTTTGATATGGAAAATAGTAGTCACAACTTCTATTGTTCTAGTCCCGGTAGAATCTGGATAAAATGGTCTACTGATAGACTATCCTTTCATCCTACCTTTTTCTCATCACAAATGATTGCTGGTATGGTTCATTATGGCTCTACTTCTCCTTTCCATCTTTCTGTGATTTATGCATCTAACAACCAGGTTGAACGGAAAGTCCTTTGGGAAGATTTAAGATCAATATCTCCTTCTGACAGCCTCCCGTGGATCTTAATGGGGGACTTTAACACCTGTAGGTTTCCTTCTTAGAAAATTGGAAGCAATTCTATACTCCAGCATCAACTGCATGATATTAATAGTGTTATCTTTGACACTAATCTTAAAGATTTAGCTTCTATTGGGCGTAAATACACTTGGTTTAATCAGCGAACATATAACCCTATTCACATCAAGCTTGATCGTATGTTGGTCAACGAGCACTGGTTATCTGTATTTCCGGATTCTTACTACTCCATTAAAAGTCCTGACGGTTCGGACCATTGCCCTATTTTTCTCAATTCAAGGGTAAATCATTCCAATAAGCATCAGTTTCTTTACAAAAATTATTGGGTCAAATGTGAGCAGTTCTGGTTTTTATTGTTTGAAATCTTTGTTGTTAAGGCAGTGGGGAATCCCCTTGTGGATCTTTGTAATAAACTCAAGAGTTTGAAAGAAGCAGTTAAGGGGAAAAGGTGGGCAACTGCTAATAATATGTCTGATCATATTAAGAATCTAAACGATAAGCAACTTTCTTATCTTCACAAGCTTATTGATGATGCAGATTTCTGCATTCCCTCTATAGAGCTTAAGAATATTAGCTTGCAGCTGGAAGCTGCCTCTTCTATGTGGTTTTCTTGGGTAAAACAACGTGCTAAGGCCAAATGGTTATCCTAAGGAGAGGATGATCTCAAATTTCTATATGCCAGAATTCGGTTGAGAAGAAGTTATAAAAAAATTGCTATTTCATTAGCTATGTCCAGCAAGGATCTTTCTGTGTCTGAAGCCATTAAAGATTCTATATCTTACTTTCAAACTCTTTTTAATGCCCCACTTGTGCTAGACTATGATATCAACTTATTTCCCCCTGGTAGTGTAATTGACATGGAAGTCTCCAATTCACTTATTATTCCTTTTTCAGATTCTGAGATTAAAAAGGTTGTGTTTTCTGGTTCCTCCAACTCCACACCCGGTCCTGATGGCTTCAATTTTGAATTTTATGAGTCTACTTGGGTGCTTATTAGTCCTTCAGTATGCAATGCTATCAAGAGCTTCTACTATAATGCTTATATGCCCCGTACGATCAAAGCCACAGCCATCACACTGATCCCTAAGTCAAGTCATGCTGAGTCTATATCAGATTTCCGTCCTATTGCCTTGTGCAATACTTCCTATAAAATCATTGCTAAACTTTTGGCGGATAGGATGAAACCAATCATGCCTAATATTATCAAAGAAAATCAAGCGGGGTTCATTAAAAAGAGGATCTCTATTGATAATGCTATCCTAGCTAATGAAATCCTCCAGTTTTCTAGAAAATCTTCTAATGCCAAGCTTATGTGTGTTAAGCTTGATATTAAGAAAGCCTTTGATAGCGTATCTAGACACTTTCTGTTAGCTAGGATGGTTCAAAAAGGCTTTCCTAGCACCTTTATCAATTGGGTTGAATCTTGTATCCAGGATGTTTGGTTCTCTTTGTGCATGGATGGTGCTTTGGATGGTTTTTTTCCGTCTTCTTCTAGTATTAGACAGGGTTGTCATCTTAGCCCTTATCTTTTCAATATTGTGATGGATTCACTTTCTTGCATGTTGGACTGCAATTTGCATGATCAACAATTTCAAGGGCTTTCTTTTGGGAATCATAAGCTGTCTCATTTACTCTATGCTGATGATTTGATTATATTTGGGAATGCTGATATGACCAACTGCAATATACTAAATAAAATTCTGAAAGAATTTTCTAAGGCCACGGGTCTTCTGGTGAACTTTGAGAAAAGTTCTGTTATATTACCACCAAACTGTAATATTGTGGAGGATATCTGCTCCTCTCTCAATATTCCATTTGCATCCTCCTATATGCATTACCTTGGTATTCCTTTATCTCCCTTCAACCCGAAATTAGCTAATTACTCTTTGCTTATGGAAAGTATCATTAGTAAGTGTCGGGCTGGATGGCTAAGGCTCTCTCGTTTGCTGGAACGCTTCAGTTTCTCAGATATACTATTTGGAATACAATAGCCTATTGGATTCGAGGTGGTATTATACCTAAAACAATTCTTAAACAAATTGATAGGTTATTTGCTAAATTTCTGTTCTTTGGTGACTCTAAAGCAAAAAAACTTCACTTAATATCTTGGAGGAATACGTGTAAGCCTAAAGAATTTGGTGGCATAGGTTTACCTTCACTGAAATCTCTTCAATTTAGTTTTAACTGCTCACTTATTGCTAGAATTTATAATGATAACAGTCCACTTAGCAATTGGATGTTATTCCATTACATCTCTCCTTGGAAGGATCCTATCTCTAAAGCTTCAAAACACTGGAAGATTATTTGTAGGGATGCAAATATGGCCAAAGAGAATTTTCATTTTAAAGTTTCGGTACACCCTAAATTTGCCTTACATTGGGAACATTGGGTCAGAGATAAGTGCATTAAGGAAATTGCTCCTCTTCAGGCACTCTTATATGCTTTTCCTGTTAATGAGAGGATCAATACTATTATTAATACCAATGGGAACACTTGGGCTTTGCCTGATAACTTACCTCTTGAAGTACACTCTACTCTTTCTGAAATCCCCATTACAAATTCTCGGGTTAGCCTGTATTGGGGTGCAGGTAATGTCTCTAGGCATAAGAATTTTAGGGAATTTTTTTATAGACAAGAAGCTAAAGTCTATTGGTGGAAGTTTGTATGGCATAAGCATTTTATCTTACGATATTCCTCCTTTTGCTGGATGGCCATTTCTGGTGGTTTAAAAACTGCGGATGCTTTGATTGCTAGAGGTATTAATGTTGATCCTAAGTGCTCTTTATGTCACTGTTATGCTGAAACTGTAAGTCACCTCTTCTTTGAGTGTGACTATTCTTTCACTATACTCACAAAGCTTATGTTCAACCTGGGTTTTTTACTATTGAGGCCTAATGTGCTGCGAATTTTTGAATACATCAAGGATACAAAGGACAAGAACAAAGAATTTTATTATCTTCTTATATGCTCTTCGGTATACTTTATTTGGAGAGAAAGGAATGAGAGGAAATTTGGGGGAAATTCTGTATCTTCTACTTCTTTAGCTCTTAAAATAAAAGTTGTAGTTTTCTCTAGAATTATGAAATGGAAATCTAGAGATATAGTAATGGATTTGCTGTAATCTGGTGCACTGAATGTGCAGTTTTTGGGATTCCTGGTTCTTGACATTATGTTCTGCAGTTAAATCCTTTTTCGTGGGATGGATTACATTCTGGGGGTTTATAGTTTTATAAGCTATTAGGTGTGTGGCTGTTCTCCTACTGGTTTTTGGCAGGCTGGCATACATGTTTTTTCTCTTTGGCTCCATTTTATGGGTATTGCTGGTTTCTCTCAGGAATTTATTTGGTTATGGGTTGGAGGTGTCTGCATGCAAACTGCTGAATTGGTGTTCAACTTTCTGTGGGAATTCTGGATGCCTATCGTTTTGGTTGGATGGGTTCTTCGTGGAAATGGGCAAGGATGACTGGATTGCCATTTTCTCCTTTGGAGGGCAGGAATTTGAAGCTTCATTTTTGCAACCAGGTTGAGAGAGCGGCAATTCCTGAGCCCGAGGCTTTATTGATCTCCTCTTCCTATTGCTTACCTTTAATTTTGTATTTCATTTTGTCATTGTTTTCTTTGACTTATTGCTTTGATGTGGGGATTTTGTTACCCCTTTTTTAGATCTTGTAAGCTTTGGCAAGATCTCAGTTTTTTTTACAGTATTTTTCTTTCTTCATTACATGTAACAAGTTTATATTAATGAAAAGGGCTTAGGCCATAACTTTACCCCAAAACATGAGGACTACAATTGAGCTTTCCCCGACCCTGTCATCACTCATTACCTCTGTCTCCACTACCGTGAGGACCACTGACTCCAGCTGCTACCTTTGTTCGCCTTATTCTCTGTAGCCCAACGGATTCAGCAGTGGCTGTCTCCTCTCTCCCCTCTATATATGTGTAGTTCTTAGTATGAAAACATATATGAAGATATATCAACTGCCACAGTAAAACCTTTATCCTTCTTCTCTGTTTCTCTGTTCTTCTTCATCTTGCAGGTCTTTCAGCGCAAGCAAAGTCTCCACTGCCAACATTCCGCTTCTCACTACCCCAACTAACCGTTTATTATACTTGATACATCCTCAAAAAATTGTTTTCCACGTAAAAACTCTTGGTGTTCATTCCTTTTTCCTGTTTGTGTGTTAAACTTACGTACAACGCTCAGACGCGAATTTACAAACTCTACCGCCGCGTATTTTCTAACACGCAACAATACTATTTTCTATTTTTAGCTGTACAGTCTAGTAGTTTTTACTAGAGTAGCAATTTTAGTAATTATGCTTTTTAGCCTTTAGTTCATATATGCTTTGTTTTGGCTCAAAAAAAGTTAATGAAAATATACGAAACAACCTTTTGGTTTTTCTGGTTTTCTTGTTACTGTTCCATTGCTGCGGCTGTTCTTTCTTAGTACAAGAAAAGAGCTGCATCATTTATCTTCCTGGTTTGGACCATTAGTAATATCCTCATCCAACAAGGAAGCATCCTTCGGCTCAACAGAAGGCAGTAAAGCCGAACCATTATGAACTTTAGGTTCACTGATAAACAATTTCTTGCAAATTACAGCAAATCCATTAGCAGATTATTGCAGACATCATTAGCACCTCCAGACATTTTTCAAACATTATGATTATCGGATTTACCAACCATAAGGGAATTAACTTGCATATTATCAGCAGGAATACACCCCTTAGTTGGAAATCTATTATCTACATTTGTTGTATTTCCTGCATCATCAATAGGTCCAGAAGCTTGCATACTTACAAGATTATGAGACCCTTTCAAAGCAGCAATACTTGATAAATTGAATTAAAAGCATCACCCGACGACGGCACCTCAGCAGTACTTGACCAAAGATTTTTATTGTTTGCCTCGCCAAATTTCCTAGGAGGGGAGATGGAGGAAATATTCTCGTATTCCTTTTTCTTTTGACCAATATCCAAGGTCCATAAGCACTTCCTTCATTTGATAAATTTGATATTTCCATTCCAGGTTTTTTAATATTAGAACTATTTGACACATGAACGTAGAAGATTCCATCTATCTAATGAAGTGGGCTGTAGAGAAGAATTCTTCAACTAATTTTTATTAATTTGATCTATTCTATGATCTTGCATAGGGACATTAGCATTCAACCTGGAATCAACTTCATTTATTTCCATACTACAAGTCACCACGTAGTGACTCTGCTTGTGACCCAATCTCCCACATTTAAAATAGAGATTCAAAATCCTGACACACACACCATTGCAAATTCTCTCCTACCCCAATATATGTTTTGAGCATCAATTAACATTGGATGGCGTATTCTAGAAGCAATTATAGCATTTTTTCTCCCATCCCAACAATTAAGTGGGAGGTGAGCGTACTTAACCCACATTACTGAATATAATCCATTCAAAGAGAATGGAGAGAACTTGGGAGTCCACCTCTCTAACGCAAAAACATAGCCCATGATAAGCCAAGGCCCACCCACTCCCGAATTATTCCATCCATAGCTTCTTTTAATGGAATAAACACAACACCTAATCCAAACCCATTGATGCGATTTCAAATTCACCAAAATGTGACCATAGCCTTTTAAGCTCGTTAATAAAAACCAAATAGGGAAACTTTATACCTAAAATCTTGATAACTACTGAAGTTTTCTGCATTTTAGCATTTTTAGTTTTAACCCTAGAATGTTGCTTTACTGCAATCCCATCATCAGAAATTAAAGAGAACTCATTGCTTATATCCTGAAAGTGTCTAGGTTTCTTCCAGTCATTTGAATGAATATAAGATTGAGCAGGAGAACCTTTAGTAGGCCTTACACCGTCCTTTACATTATTAAGCTTAAGGTGAACGAGATCAGAAAAATTTGCATTAGCAACTTGTATAGAGTTGCCAGAATCATTAAATCTTGATGAAGATTGCATTAAATGATCCTTGCTAATAATTTTATCAGAATTTGACACTTTAACATCATTAATGCAAACTGGATTCGCGAGTGGAATGCTGCGATCAGCAGAATCAACATTTTCATCAGACCCACTGTAATATCAAAAATCTGCTCCAGGATCGTCTAGGACGATCTGGATCGTCATGGGACGATCAGTGGAAATTCTACTCCAGAATGTGCCCAGATTTGCTCCAGGTGATTTTCTGTACATATCGTCCAGGCCGATTGAGGACATCGTCCAGGCCGATTGGCACTGTAGAAAATATCGGCCTGAGAATAGTTCTGGGAACCGTCCAGGACGATCCAAATTGGTCTGATCGTCCTGGGATGATCTGGCGATCGGCCGGGCCGATCTGAAGATTATAAAGCTGATTTCAAGTCGTTTGAGGAGAGAGAAAATCATTAAAAACGAAAATATCAGCCGAGGAGAGAGAAAGTCGAGGGATTTTGTGGAAAAGTGGATTTTCGGACGACGCGGAGCCGTTTTCGTCCGAAGAGACTGTTCAGGAATTTGCTGTACGCAAGGTAAGGCACATTCCGCCTTTGTCAATTTTCAGAACCGTCGTGTTTGGCGGTATTTTCTGTCCGGATTTCGTTTCCATTAATGATTTTCGTCCGTATCTTTTGATTGGTTCAGTTTTTACTGCGTAACTTTCTGTATATTGTTGACGTGCCGGGTGTGCACATTTTGGTTATTTTCCGAAGATTTTTGTCCGGGTATTTTTGATTCGACGGGGTTTTATTTCGACTGGATTTTTCTGTGTGCAAGAGCCATGTACCGTATTTGTAGATGATTGTTTTGAGGAAAAGAAAGAAAAAGATAGATGTTTGTTCTGCTGTGTTTGATGATAAATAGTAGCTCTATGTTTGTGTGTCTGATGAGTTTAATTAATTTGGAAGAATCAGTTCAGTGACCAAATTCCAAAGCCAGATCCTGGATAAAAAGGTTTGATCGCGGCCCGGTGCGAGCGGGGTCCGTCCCGGATCGGGTCGGGTCGTGACACCCACCATGACCAGCAGACGATGATGCTCCATCTTTTTTTGAATACACCAAGCTATCCCTCCAACGCACCATCAATTCAAAACGCTGATCGAAAATGTCTTTATTTGAATCGTCCTCCATAAGGACTACCTTACCTTTGCCATTACTATGAACCTCATTAACCTGAAATGGAGCCTCCATCTTGCTAACAAAAATACTATTCCCCCGGCGGAGCTCTCCCACCAGATCCTCTAACAACTCCAAGATCACTTCCCCCACTATATGCATTAAATTGATAGGCCTATAATATTTTGGTTGCATGCTTCATTGCAATTTAGAGCTTTCAATTAACATATTTTTCAAAATAACTCTCAATAAATTATTAAATAAAATAATAAATAAAACTCCAATGACTCTACGCCGACATTTTATCTTATATGGGATAACGAAAGCATTATAATTTTATGAGCCACAAATTGATGATTAGTAATCTCAAACTTCATATTGGTTAATTAATTATCATGATTCTTTATAACTTATAACTAAATAACTTGAAACCTTTTAAATAAATTTGTTAATAAAGAAATAAAACATTAAAACCTAAATTCAAATTAAAACATAAAGAAATCAAGATATAAAAAGAAGCAGAGGTAGAAGATGAAGTGAGATCATGTATTGTCTCATGTGTAACAATTACACAACGAATGTATTTATAATTGAGTTTGTGTGTGTGTGTCTGTTTACACATGTCCAACTATGATTGGAATGGTTTGTTACAGGTTGACATAGCCGTTAATTTTTTTGTTGTCGTTCACTTCATCTTTGTCATCATCTCTGCCTCTATGCCCCCGCAATGTGATGGTTTTGGTTGAACTGTCAGATTGTTGCGAAGAAATTGAAAACGAGCCATTAATAGAGATTTGGTGAGAACATTAGCTATTTGATCGTGCATCGTAATAAGAGTAATATACATATTATGTCAATTTGAAGATGATGTATGATAAAATGAAGATCCACTTCAATATGCCTTGTTGTAGCATGAAAATATAATTATTTGTTAAAGATATAGCAGATGTGTTATCACAATATAGTTTTGTTGTTGATTTGTGATCTTAAAATCCTTTAGTAATTGGAGTAGCTAGATTATATTTGTTATTGATGATGCTAAAGATTGGTTATTTGCCTAAGTTGATGATCTGGTTACTGTATTTTGTTTCTTCACACTCCATGATAATAAAGTATTGCTCAGGAATGTGTAGTAATCGGATGTTGATTTTCTGGTGGCTGGATCTCCTGCCCAATATGAGTTTGAGTAAGATGTTAAGTGAAGAGGTCCTTTAGAGATTGGAATACCGAATTGAAAGGTGACTTTTAGATACCGCAACAACCTTCGATCATTGGGATGAACTTGTGCGTATCTATTTCATACTCTGGATATTGTACAGTACGAATAATACTTAGAAAATTTTCTTCATATGGTTTGTATAACTTCTTGTTGGAGGAAATAAATAAATAAATCATCCCGTACGAATGTAAATTATATAGTATGGTTAGTTTAAAAAATTATAAATTTTTAATACTCCTCTAGTGTGTGTGTGCACAGTTACTCAATTACAATCACAATCTCTCATACTCAATAAAAATGAAAAATACATACTCCATTTACAATGAACCCTATTCTAATCTAATTTGAAGTTTTCAATAATCTGGAGTATGATTTCCCTAAAATGTTAGTACACATAAATAATAAAAGCAATATATCCAATATATGTTAGGAAAAACAATAATCAAAATAATAATATTTGGAATCATCAAAAACACACATGATATGAAAAATATAGTTATAAAAACTAAGTTGCAATAATCTCTCCTCTTTTGATGATG